CTAAAACTGATGGATGTGTCTTGGTAAGCTCCTAACTTGGGTAATGGGAGTAATCCTTTATCTGAAAATAGCACTAGGAAGGGTGTAAATTTGGAGTTACAGGATGGGGAGAGAGCAGGAGCATTTTTGCCTCTCTCGGGAATGGGGGAGGGAGTGGATCCAGAGGCCTCAGTAGCTGGAATCCACCTCTGGGCAGTCTTGGTCAGAATTATCCTTGTACAGATCTCTCTGGCTGGTACCAGTGTGTAAATGGGAAGCAGGGAGAACTGAGGGGAGGAGAAGTCACAATTAATAGCTTAATTTAGGTGCAGGGAGCTTTTCACCCCTGGTTCATGTATCTCAGGTTATTTTAAGTATTTTAAGTGTTGATGGTGGAACTTCTCTCCTGATGGCTTTTCCCTTTCTCCTGTGTCTTGACTTTTCCTTCCAGTTGCATTTTATGTTTTCCTTTTATTCCCCATTACAAGTTTTCCTTTCCCTCTTCCCAATAATCCACTTGTGAAGATGGAGACAGGTGAGCTGGGAGCTGAGACCCCTGCTCTTGGTCTGCTGGCTCTCTTGGGGCACCCCAGGCCTTCTGGAGCTGATGTCTCTGGCTTTGGAGAGCAGGGGCTGAGATGGAAGTAGGTGAGCAGCTTCTGGGTCAGGATGTCTTGGTGTGCAGCATCAAACTTTGTTTTTTGATAAGCATGTGGCTCCAGAAATGTCCATCTCTGCCAGTCCCTGCAGGGGCCTTTCTGCCTAAATGCAAATCTTTTGAGAAGATCTTACTGCATGATAAGATTTTTAATTTACATTTCCAACTCACATTCTACATTGATGTGCAAACTTGCCACATCCTAGTAAGATGGTTCAAATAAAAAGTGCTTGTGAACCCTTCTCTGATGAAAAATTAATCACCCCATCAGCTTATTCAGTTACTCTTCTCCCTCTTGCATGCTTATGCCACCAGTGCCAGCTTCAACACAAAAAGCTGATTTCAATGTGTTTCATCATAAAAACTGAGGCTCTTCTGGATTGCCAAAAAGGACTACAAAGAGTTCAGCCCTGGGGGGTGTCCAGGTGCCAAAAAAGGTCCTTTCCCCCCCAGGCTTAGTGTTACTGGTCTTGAAACCATCAGCTAATTAGAGTGCTGGAAGAAAGGGAGCCAAGACACTTTGTTCTTCTTAGTGTCTGAAAAAGGATGTAAGAGAGTTGGGATGGGTTTGTGGGTTTTCTGGCCATCAAATGCACCCACAGGTTGATGCTGAGTTACAAATCCAGGAGGTTTTGTGCTGTTCCATCTTGCCAGCTGGAGGTACCCATGGAGCAGGGCCCTGGGGGCTTCCCTGGTGGCCATGAGAGCTGGGGCAGGGAACTGTGGTGCCAGAGTGGGTAGAGAGAGCCAAGGTGGGCTGTCAGATCTCTTTTCTGGGGGTTTGGGGCAAGGTGGATTTCTTTTTTTTGTTGGGTTTTTTGAATGTTTGGGGCTCCTGAGGTTTAGGTTTTGGTGGAGCAGCTGATATTTAATGGTGATGGAGCAGGTGGTCGAGAAAAGTTGACTTTTTAAAATCTTGGAGTCTGTTGGTTGATTCTTCTGCTTTTAAAAAATCATACCCATGTCTTGTGCCATAAATAAATGCAGAGTTGTCTTTTCTGGAATTTATTTTGTCCACAGGTATTAATCCAACCTCTGGAAGGACCTGGAGAGCTGTTCTGAGCAAGAATTTAAGGCTTAACAACAACGTGATCCACAGATTCCTTGTAGCAGTAAAGATAGAACATGGTGACAACTTTTATGTTTGATCCTTATCTTCCGTATTTTGGAGTTCAGGTTTTTTTTATCCTCTGAGCTACTTTATCCTGTAAAAAAAAAGAGTAATTTATTCCATCTTATAATGCCAGAATTGAGGTTGTTTCTTATTGTAAGTTGTAATCACTTCACTTCCTGGGAGTTGTAGATATTGTGTGTCAGTTTTATTCCTTATCCTACTACAGACTCTAGGGTTAAGTTTTTCATTGCCCCAGTTAGGGCAAGATGCTTCTCTTTCATCTCTTGAAAAGTGAGTACTAGTCTTCTTGAGTGAGCTTGACTTCAGTGCCTGGAGCTTCCAACAAAATATACCAAATATCACAGAGCTCTGTATTATTGTAGCAAATTTTGAGAGGCTGTAAAATTGCAGATGGAAAATTGAGCTTCCTATGGGCTGAGTGTGGGGTTTTTTTTGATCCAAGATAAGGATATTTGTTGTTCTAAGGTTATTCTGGGAGCTGCCTGCTTTCAGCCCTCAGGGAATTGCTACCAAGTGAGCAGTGCCTGGGTGAAGTCCCAGCACCGTCAGGGATGGAGACGACTTGGACAAAGCAGGGAATTCCATGTTTCTTAGGGCTCAGGGGGAGCAAACACTTCTGCAGGACTAAGCCAACAATCTGCAAGCTAGAGAAAAAAAATCTCCAAGCTCAAAAATGAGCACAGTGAGGCTTGATTTTTTTTTTTTTTTCATGTTGACTGATGAAATGAGACTGGTGATGCTTCCTGTACTGATGACATCTTATGCAGATGAAGGTGTAATTAGGACGGGGAACCCCAGTAGGGGCAACATGAGCTTCTTGGAGAGAACAGCACTTGCAGATGTTTTCTCTGCATATGTGTAACAAGTTCATCCCTGGAGATGAAGTGGGAACATCAGATCTGTGTAGGGTGGAAAACATTTTAAATCTGAAAGAGGAGCTCTTTTCCATAACAACATCTCCTGTTGTTCGGGGTTGAAGGAGACTGGAGAACAAGTGCTGTCGACTGGTTGTGTTCTGTGACAACTTGAGTTTGAAGCCTGTTTATTTGTGAAGGAATGACCAAAATGGTCATGCCAAGTGCACGTTTGGTTTTTAAGGTGTGGACAGATTAATCTGAAATGCGTGAGATTCAGATGCAGGAGCTGTGAGCAGCAGAGTTGGTGGGATTTGCCCACAAATGGGGGTGGTGAGGGACAAGCCACCCTGTGGCTTTGCCCTACCCAGCAGAAGCAGTGCAGCCACCTCTGTCCCAGCCTGCTGTCACCCCTTGGTGCTCCATCCTGTCTTGCTTGCCCCAGAAGTGTGCAAAAGCCTTAGATCTGATAGGAGAAATCACTAGTAAGGGATTTGCTGATGTTTCTTTCATTATCTGTGCTTTTCTTTTCCCTCACCACATGTTTCTTGGTTGGGCTGTGAAGTTTTCAGATCCATCTCCACCACCTCTTGCCTTAAAAGATACTGAAATCTGGTGCTCAAAAGTACCTGCTGAGGGTTTAGTGTGCCTCTCCCTCTTCCTCTCTTCCCCCTCCCTCAGTTGAGCTCACTAGTTCCCATGATGAAATCCTGAGCTGCCTCTTGCTTCAGTTGACTCTTGATGGCTGGAATGGGATGACACACCACGCACATAAGATGTTTGCACAGGAAGGTCACAAGGTTCTGATTGTTGGGAGTTCATGGTTTAGCAGAACTGCACGGTGCTGTCTTGTGTTGTCAAAGCAAATAGAAACCAGGAGATGTGGCTTTTGTGTTCTGTGGTTATTTGCTGGCTGGGGATATTGCAATAGAACAGCAAGGATGGGGAACAAAAGGAAGAAAACAGCCCTGGGCCACTGCTGCTCTGCACTTCCCATGTTTTTGCTGGCCTTGGGATTTCTTTTACCATTCTGTCCCCAGTTTGTTTTTTTTAAGCCTGACCCTATAATCAGAAAACTGTATTTGCATCAGTTAGAAATAAAAACTTCATATCACTAAGAGATGCAGCACTTGATCTTCTCAAAGGCAGCAATTTACCCTTCACCTTCAATCTTGAGAGAGACCCAGAATTGCTTTGCCTCCTGTGGCTGGTGTGGGTGATGAGGTGACAGTTTTGTGGTTCAGATTTCTCCCTCGTAATAATGTTGAAATTTGTAGCTCTGGTTTCCCATTTATCTCTGTACCAGGATCTGGATTGTATTTCATGAGTTCTGACACTTTGAAACCTGCTTTATACTTAAAGCTGGATATAAATGTGTTTGCTCCAGGTTAGCTCAAAAAGTGATTTAAGAAGAGGAAGGTTTTTCTTAAGGAAATTGAAAACGACTGTGTTGGGTTTTTGTTTGGTTGGTTTGCTTGTTGTTTGGTTTAATTTGCCTTTTAAATCTCACCTGTGTCTTTCCCTCTGGCCAAGTGGCTCTTCATTGCTGCTTGTGAGATCTACCTGCATCTTCCACACCTTGGCATTGGAGAGGGAGAGGGCAAATAGTGCCTCTTGAAGTCTTTCCTCTTCAGAGGGTGCTGGGGAAGGGCTGAAGAGGAATTGGGAAGAGCAGCTGAGTAAGTAGATGGGATGTGACAGGAAGGTGTGTCAGGAGCTTTAGGCCAATCCACAGCACTGGGAATTTGCTCTTTATTAATTAGACAAGTTACACACCTATTTCAGAAGAGCTAATAAACATCCAGGGCAGTTCCCTGCTGTAATGTTGCCTATTCTTGAAGATATGTGAGCAGCTCTCTGCTTGAGGGTCAGCATGAGAGTCACAGAAGAGTCATGGTGGGAAAGGACCTTTGAGACCACCATGTCCAACAATAAAAAAAACCAAACCAATGCAAACCACACAACCTCCAGTCTTGGCCACTAGAGCACATTCCTTGAATGCTTTCAGGGATGGTGGCTCAACCACCTCCCCGGGCAGGCTGTTCCAGGGCCTCACCACTCTTCCAGTACAGAAATTCTTCCCAATATCCAATCTGTACCTCCCCTGCCACAACTTCAGGCCATTCCCTCTGGTCCAGTTCTTCTTTACCTGGGAGAAGAGCCCAACTCCCACCTCCCTACAACCTCCTCCTGAGTAGTCACAGAGAGCGATGAGCTCCCCTCAGCCTCCTCCAAACTCAACATCCCCACTTCCCTCAGCTGCTCCTCATTATGACTTGTTCTCTAGACCCTTCACCAACTTGGTAGGTGCCTTCTGGGCAGGCAGCAGGGAGGGGTTTGCTGCTTCACTAACACCTTCTTCTCCCCTGGCAGGATGTTCCGCCCGCGGGTGCTGGCCGCGCTCTCTGCGCTCTCACGGCGTTTCCAGGGGACAGCTCAGCACCCCAGGGCCCGGCCCAGGCTGGTGATGGTGGCAGCTTTCATAGGGACAACTGCAGCCACAGCAAGTGCCAGACTCCTTTGGCAGAGGTAATCTGTTCTTTCTCCTCGCTGTTTCTTGCCCCAGGCCTCTAGTCCTGGGGTGGGTTCCTGCAGAAGGGTTGAAGACTCTGAGTGTTTGTGCGTGTCCTGCTTCTGCTGCCTGCAAGGAGTGGCTTTTTGTGGCTCCCTGTGGAGCTGCTCTGAGTGGTCAGAGCTGTGAAGAAGCTCAAGGCTAGAGAGTTGTCCTTTGTAGCCATCAGCACACAGGCTGTTGGCCCATGGGTGCACCTGGTGATGCCCCGTGTGATGCTCTGCCAAGACAAATGGGTTGAGCCCACCAAGCTGGGTGAAAACGTTGTGCCTTCAGGTTCAGGGAAGGCTGCTGGGAACAGCATGCTCAGCCAGGGGTTGCTGCTCTGGCTGGCTGTGTTCTGCTGGCTGCTTCCTATAGAAAACATAATGGGAGCAGAAGGGGACAGCCCATCTTCCAGTGGGGATGTATCTGCATGCAGGACTTGGAAGTTTTAAATAGGCTTTCAAATGGGCTTTTGAAAGTTGTGTTTAAATGAGGGGTGAGAAACTTTGTTGTTGACAATGTGTATGTAGGGTGATCAGTAGAAGCAACCTAGGTGAATACAGAAGGTTTGTGATGACATCCTTGGTTCATTAGGTAATTACATCCTGAGGAAGTAGCAGTAAGTATAATGAGCTAGTTATAGAAGGTAAATATGTAATCCAAGCAGCCACAGCACAGGGATCAAATGAGCCAAGTGTCACTTGGTGTAATTTACAGACTAGAGAGAGAAATGTCTGAGGGCATCTGACTATTTACCCTTAGTAGGAAGGGATTTTGATTGATTAAACCTTGCTGTGGCATTGGGATGGGAAGCAGGTGAGGGAGGTCCTTGGCATAATCAGTTGTGTTGGTGCAGTTGGTCTGTCTCAGGGATGACCTGTGGAGGTTGTTCACCTCTGGTTAGTGAAGCCACCCTGCTGCTGTTGTGATGCCACATTCTCCTGTGCTGCACAGTTAGTCTCTGAGAGGCCCAGCAGGTCCTGAGTGTGTCTCTCTTAGAGTTACTGTCCCTTTCTAACAAGGAATGTGTGCCTGCTGGTGTTCTGCTGCATCTTGGATGGTCTGCTGGTGAAGCTGAGACCTTCAGCAAGGAACAAAGTCAGGGATGCTCTCCTGCCAGTCAAGTTTTGTTGTAAGATGAGGGATGAATCCCTCTTCTTGTTTGCTTATGATTATTTTTCCTTACAGTTAAGGCATTAAAAATGTAATAGGCTGGATCAGGTAGTTGATAATCTTATGCTGCTTGGGTTAGGTGAGCAGAAGGTGATGCAGTGTCAGAGGAAGA